CCAAAATTAATAAGAAAAAGTGTTTTTTTGGTGCAGTCGATTTTTGGTAAAAAAAGAAGGTTGTACCTACACTGCCTTTTTTTGAGCCCCGAAAGAAAAATTGTCTCAGACCGATCCGGAAAATAATTTTTCTTATTGAATGTGGCCTGTAGAATCCATAATTTCAAACACTTCCAAGTTTGGGCTAGTAGTTCAAAAGTTACAGCCCTTTGAATTTTTTTTCGAAATTGGTTTCTAGTCTATAACCTTTGATTGAGAAGTCTAATCGAAAAAGTACGAATGGTTTTGGATTCTACGCACCAAAATTAATAAGAAAAAGTGTTTTTTTGGTGCAGTCGATTTTTGGTAAAAAAAGGAAGGTTGTACACTGCCTTTTTTTGAGCCCCGAAAGAAAAATTGTCTCAGACCGATCGGAAAATAATTTTTCTTATAGAATGTGGCCTGTAGAATCCATAATTTCAAACAGTTCCAAGTTTGGGCTAGTAGTTCAAAAGTTACAGCCCTTTGAATTTTTTTTCGAAATTGGTTTCTAGTCTATAACCTTTGATTGAGAAGTCTAATCGAAAAAGTACGAATTGTTTTGGATTCTATGCACCAAAATTAATAAGAAAACGTGTTTTCCCGAGAAATTTTAATTTAGTTGTCCTCTTTGTGGTATTTGATGCGTTCCCATCAAAATTGGAAAATTTTTGACGCATTCTATTCTGATTGTGGCAACGTACTGACGACAAATTTGTTACAGCGCGCGCGGCACGTTTTGTTTGTTCGGTGCATTTTGTTGCAAGTGAGTACGCACCTTAAGAATGAAAGCTTTGTGCCAGACTTACAAGCACATACAACAGGTGCCAAAAAATGTACACTCATGGCAATGTGATTTGGGAAACAACTTTTATGGATCATTTGTTCAGTAATTAGCAATACATGTTTAATGTTTATTTCCTGCCAAGCGAGAAAAAGCGGATCATCGCATCTGATAGTATAATGAGCCAGTTTTGCCCAGATTATATCTCATCATCATTACTTATATAACTCTACCAAACCGTAAGCTCCGTTCACATGCAGTTCGTCATGAGAAACATTCATATTGTTTACTACTTCGTGTTGTTTTCAACATTTGCATGCGTAAGTCTCCTCCAAATCTTACAGAAAAGGGATGATATTGTTACCATTCTAGGATTTTCCGCAATATTTCCAAAATGATTATGTCGTGAAGTACGAAAGGCACTTAGTTCACTTCTACAATGAAAAGTATATAAGATACAATCTGACTTACAGCAAAGTGAGCAAAACAAGTAGAAGACTCCTGTTTACTGTTGATGTACTTCAAGAAATTGGCACAAATGCCAAGGTGAGAAGAATCAGTACCTCAATGATAATGTTACACTTCAATTGCAGTTTGTCCTAGAAGCGCTGAAATTTACAAGCAACGAGTACCGTAGGTTTGGATTCCGGCACGAAGAGCACCCATGCAGCTTCACCTTTACGGATTCGTTTGGTTTTAGCTATAAAAATTCGGACACCAACTTGACTACTTGTCCCACCAAAAAAGTAAGCATTGTAGTATAAAACTCAATGACATTTATTTAAACATATTTGACCTTAAATTTGAAGACTAGGTACACATGTAAAAGGTTTACAAACGTCACGATTTCAGACTCGGCGTTTAATATTCACTGTCTCAGTCAAGACAGAATGCAAAATTCAATATTTACTTTTAAGCATCGAGACATAAACGTCTAAATTCTAGAATCAAGATTCAACATTCTAGATTTAAAGATTGGCGCTCTAGATTCAAACTTCCAGGTTCCAGATTCTCTATGCAAGACGACGAAGTAGGTACTTGAAAATTAAAACTTCATTAATTCATTTCTCGGCTCCCGGTTCGATCACCATATACCCATGCCCGTTCCCCTTTCTGTTAGGGACCCGTCTGTAAACCGCACGAGCCCCTCAGGTTTGAGGAACGGGCAATTCGAGTGCAGACACTGCTCTCTATCCGATAGAATGACTTTATAACACTTTGGGCTTAGTATGATAGCCCGGATCGCATCCCTTTTTGCGAGAAGGGGATCGGATCTGAGGGTACCCTCCCAGATCCGCCTGTGCCCAAGCCTGCCTCGATCTTGAGATGGCCATACCTTTATGACAAAGGCTGGATACTTAACATCAAAAACAAAATCTACGAACGCAACCAAAGAAGCCAGAGACTGCCGTCCTTCCCGGTAGCGGAGCCACTACCAAAATACCTAGAATTTTATTTTTAGAATTTGAATGTTTTTGTAATCAATTAGTGTTAGGTACCTTGTTTTTGAAAAGAGGGATACTAAATAACAACAGCCGGATTTACTGTTACATAGGATGGAAATTTCCATTCCGGGGTGGGTTTAGTTTTCCGACTCAGGGGTGAAGAGGGTTTTTATTTGTTGAAAGGAAGTTCGGCGCCTTTTTGGAATGTGAAAAAGGACACTTGCTTGCTACAAACGGTAAATTAGATAGGCATCTTGTTTTCCTTATCGGCGCCTTAAACGACACTACAAATTATAGCTATTACTTCTACCTTCTATTTCCCACTCCTAAAATAGTAATACATAGCTCCGGAAGCTACAATCTCTCGTAAAGAAGCGCCCGGTTGAGTTCCTCCGTGTACAGGGTGCTCATTAAAGCTTGTAAAAATCATATGCGTAAACGGGTACTTCGTTACGAATTTTATAATTTCACTACCTTACGGTGTCAAATGTCTTTCATGAAATCTGGAATCCTCCTGCGGAAAAAGTGCGCGATATGTTTGGTGGCTTACTTTCTGCTTAGATTCTTAGATTAGTTAAGTGAAACTATATCTAGCGGAGTGTTCTCGTTTCAGTGTACTAAATAATTATAATTTTAGGGCACTTACTACCTGCGAGACCCCAACCTCGATCAAAGCAGGTTTCCGCCGTTCGTTCCGAGAGGACGCTTTATGCTCAATGGATGTATATACGTGGATGACGCCTTACTTACAAACATAAGCGTATATATCAAAATAGTACCAACAAATCCTCTGGAAGTGGTCATTAACTAATATTGTTTGTATGAATCAATAGCACGCCTTGCATAGCGTATTAAATAAACTACCGCAGTGTTTAAATGTAATTATGGCTTATGATTAGTCTATATCGCCCATCCTGTCTCCTCCTAGGGCAAGATGGTGTAGAAGCTGTAGGCTACGTATCAGATCCGTAATGAATTTAATTTTATGGTACTGGTTTAAAAAAAGGATCTGGAGTAAGGAGATACGTACATTATTGAATATGGAGAACAATTAACTGCGAAATTCTAAGGATGTTATTTTGGTTTGTTTACATTGTGTATTGTAACGTTGCATCCGAACGGTCTCTTCTAGACCGCATTTGATATGACACGATACTCTCCATTGATTCTTTCAAGGGGTCGTCCATTAATCACGTGATGTTTTTAGCAACTTTTTAACCTCCTTAACTTCATCAACCACCCAAGTTATCTTGTTATGTCCTTGGTTGGACCGTTCACCGCATATCTATTTTTACAAACAGCACTGAATGGAATAATGATTGTGAATTTAATTAATCCCTCTACTGCTTCAAGCTTCAATTTACCAGTCTCCTCCAATATATAGTGCGGGGTGTCCGATAGGATAACTACAGTATTTATTAACATAGGGGCGGAACATCGACGTATTGTATTTGTTCATCTTGTTTTATATAAATATTTTGCATCCAATTTTTTCTGATCGTTTTTTAATAACAAAATCTCTCGATTTCAGTTACAATAAAAAAAATGTTGAACCTGTCCATTTCTTAGTGCATATTTATATTGGTTGCATAATTTTAATTTCGATCGCGCAAAAAATGTTATAAGCACCTCGAACGTTAAGGGTTACCATTCTCAGATAATAATTGTCTTCGAACGGTAAAAACCCCTTACCGTTCTCCATACTTAATATACTATTTTGTATTCTCATCGAATGAAATCTCTGAGTTTGTGACCCGAATTCTTATCTCAACATAACACAAATTTTGGATTTCTTCAAGATGATCATCAGCTGGAGCAGACAGCTCTACGTCGACTTGATATTTGTGTAGACCAATTTGGGATTATGAGAGTCAAGACTAAGATTGTTTTATTGGATGAAGTAGAAGACGTCAAGTTGCCTGCTATTCTTGCTGGAAAAAATCCAATGGTTCAACACCTGATTTTGATGTACATAAGAAGTTATGTCAGGCTGGAGTCGGAATTGTGATGACTAACTTGAGAGAAAAATATTGGGTCATCAAAACACCAAGAACGATAGAGTCTGTTATCTCTATCTGTGTAAAGTGTCGAAAAGTTGGTGTTAAAAACGTTACCGTGTTGAGGGCAACACATCTACCCTTGGCAGGACAAAAAGCTAATAAAGTAGTTGGAGTGGAAGCAGTTTATTAAATTAAAAGGAAGGCTAAGACTTGTGATGAGTGACAACGGAACTAACTTCCAGGGATGCAGTAACTTCTTCAAATCATTGGATTGGAAAGTTATTGGAAAGGATACCGTTTTAGAGAAAATTCAGTGGAAATTCATGGTTGCTGCCGCATTCTTAGGACCCGAACCTGGCCGAACACAGTCAAAAAGAAGATTGAAGCAAAACTCACGAAAGAGCACTGCAGACACTGGTTCAAAATTCCAGGGCAGAACCTTTCTGGAAACCCCCAACGGGGAATTTGTATCGTTCGTCTTGAAGTTAAGTGGGAAGAAGGTAAAGACAAAGATGGTCACCGGACTCTGTAGATTAAAAAAAAACACCTGCAGAAAATGGGCCTGTTATGCAGGGGTTGGGGTGAGGAAGAGTAAACATCACACCACGTCATTTTCCATTGTGATGAGTCATATACAAAGGCAAGGGAACACCTGCTTGGAAATGAAAAGAAATAGACAAGAGGAAGGTAACGAGGGTTCGCCCTATTAAAACCCTGGACTTTGAAGATGCAGGTGGACAATACCGGGGAGCACAGTATATCAGTGCAAGAACTGATTGGGACCACTCCTAGTGCAATAATAATAATAACGCCTAATAATCCAAGTGAAGTCAGTGGTGGACCGCGGAGGCGAATATCTTACTTTGATTTTTGAACTAGCCCTCAGGGCAAATTGCAAGAACGTCACATTTTTTTATTTAAAAAGGAACCAACGCGCAATTCGGTTGATGATCAATGATGATGAGGTATAATCTAAACAGATTATAATTTTTAGCAAAACTGACTCATTATACTATCAGATCCGTTGATCAGCTTCTCGTTTTTGGACAGGAAGTACACACGATTGCGTTGCTAATTGCTCAACAAACGACCCATAAAAATGATTTCCCAAATCACTTAAAAAGTGAAGGTAAGTCGATACAGAAATCGTACTGTTAAGTTTTTCTCATTGACCTTAGGTCACGTGTTGTAAGTTCCTGAAATCTGACAAAGCGAAATTCCACAAAAAATGTTGAATGAGTTTGGAAGGCTCTGAAACGTGTAAGTATAAGTTTAGAAAACATTGCATAAGGTCAACGATATCAATCTGGTAATGTCTAAAGTACCTACTCGCTGTCGTTATGTCCTTCAACTTAATGAGGCAACAACAAAAAAATAGGTGGTGACTATACTAGCATCATAGTATAATGCATATATTATGCTAGCGTTTTGCCGCTAAGATAACTAAACTATTTTAAATTTTTTTATTTGTATAAAGTAGTGGTCGGTTATGTTTAGGAATGTCCATAATAGTTATTTATGCATCAAGGGCATTAAGGCAATATTTATGACGAGGGCGACAGAGCCCGAGGGATTGTAAGTCGCCCGAGGGTTAAATATTGAGTAATGCCTGAGGTGCATACAACATTTTATTTTTCATCGTTCCAAAGAATGCATTTTCAATATACAAATGTCATGATTATTGTTTGCCCAACATTAAAATGCTTCATACGAATAAAGTTGCATCTTTTTTTATTACATAATCCGAAATCGGATGTCGAAACGTCAACGGATGTCAAAAAGATAGGGAAATTTTTACGTTTGGATGCCGAAAGGTGCGGTGGATATGTATATGTATATATATATATATATATATATATATATATATATATTGGCCAACATTTCGAGCATTTACGGCGGCATTAAAAGCTTCCTTTTTTACATCGATCCACCTTAGGGCCACAAATTATATAATAAAAATAATTCCGGAAAAATTAGCTTAAAAAAATAAAATTTTGAGGGTACAAAATTTTCTTTGGCCTAAATTTTAGGTTAGGAACAAGATACCGAGATGCGGTTTTCGAGAACTTGTTTACGCATCATTTACCTACTTTTTCATGAAAAAAAAATGTCTGTCGGAATGTCGAAAAAAGCCCTCAAGCGGCGATATGTGAAACTAACAAAACTTCAAATATAAATATTTGTAGCCGAAGAATAACTCTTTTCAATTAACCCGAGTTTGTTAAAATCGGCTCAGTCGTTTCGAAGATACAGGGCGTTCTATACGGACACCTTTGAATACCCCCCACCACTTCATTTTTAGAGATACAGGAAAAATTGTCAAACAAAAAAGGTTCACATTATCGTAGTCTTCAAAGACCGGACATTTTTTTGTTAGGTTAATATAGTGGAATTCACAAAAAAACCACTTTCTTAGATTCCAGATTGCAGTTACGTCCCCTAGCGGTCATTTCAAAAACTTAAAAATATTTTCCAGGTTTTTCTCGTGGCCTTTTTAGTAATAACCTTTTTTACCGCAAGCCTCTACGATGGACTAGTTCCCAGATACAGTACCTCGCATTCTTACTTGGCCACCCTGTACACTTGCTTTTTTTTGGGGCCGGAAAAATTGTCCCGAGAAATTTTGGTGCAGTCGATTTTCGGTAAAAAAGGAAGGTTACACACTGCCTTTTTTTGAGGCTCGAAAAAAAAATTGTCTCAGATCGATCCGGAAAAAAATTTTCTATAGAATGTGGCCTGTAGAATTCATAATTTCAAACAGATTGGGCTACGAGTTCAAAAGTTACAGCCCTTTGAATTTTTTTTCGAAATTGGTTTCTAGTCTATAACTTTTGATTGAGAAGTCTGATCGAAAAAGTACGAATTGTTTTGGATTCTACGCACCAAAGTTAATAAGAAAAAGTGTTTTCCCGAGAAATTTTGGTGCAGTCGATTTTTGGTAAAAAAAGGAAGGTTACACTATCTTTTTTTGAGGCCACAAATAAAAATTGTCTCAGATCGACCCGGAAAAAAATTATTCTTATAGAATGAGACCTGTAGAATCCATAATTTCAAACAGTTCTAAGATTGGGCTACTAGTTCAAAAGTTACAGCCCTTTCATCGGAAAAAGTTGAATTACTCATTAACCTGATGAGCACAAAATTTTAAATTAGCAGCACAAATTATCACAAAATTATAAGATACTGGGAACTTAATTCATTTCAGGTCGACACTCCAGCTTCACGGACCCTAGAACCAATGGTTTACCAACTGATACACCATGTACTAGGAGCAGGAGCACATCCTCGCTTATTTTAATCTCCTCATGCAAAATTGCGTAAAAGTCGAACGCTTCCTTGTCAATCATGCTCTTCTAGTAACAGCCGATCCCGGACCATCCCAATGCGAATCGAAGTCCACAAGGGTGTTTTGATCTAAATGGAGTGAAGAAGAGATCTAAAATTTATTAAGTACGTCTACTACAAAATTGTTTACAAAATCTTATTCTAAAGTGTTCACACGTTCGAGTGATAGTGCTAGGTAACCAAATCGGTCGACTGTGCCTTTCCCAAGGGCCGCTGTATCATCGACTTGGAACGCGGGAAGCTGTTCAAACTGTAGGTCTGAAATTAAAGTACATCTTACAGTAGGCGTCTAGAGGCTCGACCCCCTCGGCGAAGCGTCTCGCTCTGTTCTAACAGCGTTACTGTGTACGTGTTAACGTACTTTCTCTGATTAAATAGATAAATAGTTACCTCCAAATTTTTTGGAGTACAAACGTAGGTGGACTTCCCGCGTTTTAATAGCTTCCTTTCGCTCATCCTGAGCGAGTGCCGACTCGACTTGAAGAGCGAGTCGTTCCGGTTCAGGTCTCGATGGAAGAACAGCGCTTTGCATGTTCTTCGGTACTTGTCTGAGAGGAGGCAGTAGAGAATGAAGTTGCACGACGCGTTTAGCGTCAGTAGCGAGTTGAATATGTTGCCTAGGCCTGAAACGTCGATTACTCACTCTGCTTTGCGAGCAAACGAGTACTTACCAGCTTTGATATTTTCGGTGAAATCGTCAGCTTGGCCCACCAAGGCTTCGTAGATCAAAAAGGACGCGGTAGGTATTTGGCACACCAAGAAGAGCACCACAATTGATATGAGGAGAAGTGTGATCCTGTTTTCTTGAGTTTGTGACTTTTGCTCCTGGAATTCTCAGCGTAACCACAGAGTGAGCTAGGAGGGTTTTTACCTGCGAGTTGGTCATCACCTTCCGCGTCTGGTAGGATTTGTAGACCGAGTGAATCAGGAAGCAATTGAATGTCGCGATTAACGCCAAGGGAAGTACTGCGAACACAATCGCCGAAAACCAGTAGAACATGCTTCGGTATATCCGGTTTTTCCCGAGCGAGGTACCTTCGGTTTTGATCGTGTAGTTTTTGACGCAGCATGTCGTGTTCATGAGTTGAATGTTGACCATGGCTTGGAACAGTTGCTGGGTGGAGTTCATAAACAACTGGATCGTTTCCTCGTCCGCCGGAATGACTCCCTCGCCCCACTCCCTGCTGCAGTTCCTCTCGCTTCCGAGCGCAAATGTGTCGGTACCGTTGTCGTCAGTGTGTTCAGGGTGCAACGCTCTCAACTCACTTTCCTCGCACATCCTAATACAGTCGTCGTGGAATGCCAGCTGATACTCGAATGGAGTCGTAGCCGTTAGTATGATACACAAAATACTGATAATCGCGATGATGCTTTTTGCTCTTCGTTCCGTGCACAACACCTTTCCTTTCATGGGATGACAAACTACAATGTAACGTTCCATCGTGAACGAAACTGTTAACCACACTGACGTACTGCCTGAAAAAGGAGCCTTCATGTTAATATGGCAACATTTTAAGTTTACCCTCGACCTGTAAGGGATGATAAATGCCAACAATAACACTAAATCCCGAACGGACTCACCTATTAGGGAACAACTCTAAGAAATCGGTGGGCAAGTGGTCTCACGGACGTAAAGTAGACTTCAAAAAAGCGTGACCCAAAAATGTAGGCAAAGTTGCTAGATTTCTGAAGCAATTAGTTTAGTAGAAGAACGGAGACTACCACTGGTACAGATTATTGACATGACCTCCCTCTCACCACCCCCTAAGGACTGTTTGGAATTTGCCATTTCCCTCCCTATCATGCCTCTTGTCTCGATCACGTCGGTCTTACCCCCGTTCGAAGCCCGTCTTTGGTTTTCCGGATGACTTTCACTGTCTGCGATGGTGCCGCTTCTAGTTTTTCATATGTCCTCCCCTCTTCTTGGGCCAGGATACTGACTTCTTTACTTCTGGATTCGGGTTCTCCATGAAGTATGTAACACTTTTGTTGTACAGCATCAGCATCCTTCCCTTGGGCGTGCGCACGTAGATTATTCTGCTGACGAATTCGGAGTGCCGTGTTGCCAGTTCCTTCCTGGTCTCTCCTCCTGCTCCGTGTCCATAATGAAACTTTTTTTTCGGTCACCTCATGTGAACAACGCCAAGTTTCACGTCCTCAGAATGGGCTTCAACAATCAAGCCCTGTATCTCCTCCCTTCTTCCTCCCACTTTGACTTGCACCTAATGCATCACATGTTCGATGCCTAATTTCTAGAAATTACGATTCAAATGCCAAAAGCACGAAATATTTTAAGGAAGAATGTAGAACCGGGAGGTCTGGGGGGTATGGAATAGCACCCCGGTTCAAGAAAGGTTCAATATCCATTTCCAAAAACATAAGATTGAGTTACGTACGTGGCGACATCTCAACTAAACTTATAATACTATTACATGAAAAAAGTGTATCGTTTACCATGGAGATGGCGCACTTGCACCATTTGTATTTAAACTAATTATTCAAAAACCGGGGCATTGAACTACAATTGCTCTACAGATTTTGCAAGACTCCGTCCATCTTGAAATGCCATTTAAGGAAAACTAAGTCCAAGGAGGCTATTCAAATGCTATTCATAATGAAATTACGTACGTGGCGGCATCTCCACGAAACTGCTGAAACTATACAATGAGAGAAAGTGTATCGATTACCAAGGAGATGGCGCACATGTACCAATTGTATTTAAACTAATTATTCAAAAACTGGGAAATTGGACTACTAGTACAAAAGTTGTAGCCCTTTGAATTTTCTTTCGAAATTGGTTTCTAGTCTATAACTTTTGATTGGGAGGTCTAATCGAAAAAGTACGAATTGTTTTGGATTCTACGCACCAAAATTAATAAGAAAAAGTGTTTTCCCGAGAAAATTTGGTGCAGTCGATTTTTGGTAAAAAGGGAAGGTAATACACTGCCTTTTTTGTGCCCCGAAAAGAAAATTGTCTCAGATCGATCCGGAAAAAAAAATTTCTTATAGAATGTGGCCTTTAGAATCCATAATTTCAAACAGTTCCAAGATTGGGCTACTAGTTCAAAAGTTACAGCCCTTTGAATTTTCTTTCGAAATTGGTTTCTTTTCTAGTCTATAATTTTTGATTGAGAAGTCTAATCGAAAAAGTATGAATTGTTTTGGATTCTACGCACCCAAATTAATAAGAAAAAGTGTTTTCCCGAGAAATTTTGGTGTAGTCGATTTTTGGTAAAAAAGGAAGGTTAAGTATTCAAATACTATGCGAAGTATTCGAATACTAAATATTTGTGAAAGTATTTGAGTTACAAATACAAATACTGCTTCCATAAAAGTATTTAATTACAAAGTATTAGAATACTAAAAAGTATTTACAAAATCGAATACTGCCCAGCTCTGACTGCGTCTATGAATGCCGAGCGAGCCGAAGGCGAGTTCGGCATCAATTCGGCTCACTCCTCCCATATGGGAAGCCTGATTTATGCCGAACTCGCCTTCGGGCCGCTCGCTATTTGTACAGTGACTTTCGTTAAATGGCAAAAAATTCCAGCAGCCAAAATTTGTCAATTTAACACTGCGTCTACGAATGCCGAGCGAGCCGAAGGCGAGTTCGGCATCAATTCGGCTTACCCCCCCCCCCCCCCCATTTGGTAGTAATAGTGCATAATTTTTGCATGCGGACGTATAGAACATCTCATTGCAAAAATTCCCTATCAGAAAATGGGCATGATTTTGGTAGTTGGGTCCGGGGATCTGGAGGGGAAGTGAAGAAACTGATTTGTATTTTTGTGTAAATAAATTAATGTTAAAAATTTGGAGCACAAAAAAACGCATGGCGAGTTACTTCCAAACAGCGTAAGATGTTTAATCTGTGAACCGTCGAATTGCGGTAAAACGAATACCATGCTCAGTCTTATAACTGATCCCAATGGTCTACGCTGCAAATACGTGTACGTCTATTTCAAATCGTTGAATCCTGGGTGAAATTTTTCAACTGATGAAGGCATGATTTATGCCGAACTCGCCTTCGACACGCTTTTCGTTATTATATACCAAATCCTAACAAAAGGATGTGGTCATGTAAGACCTCGCCTACGAATATGCCGAGGGAGCCGAAGGATCGGCCGAATGTTCGGCGTAAATTCGGTGCCCAGTTTTTTTAAGCGTATATTTTAAGAATTAAAAAACATGTTTCCGTTTTGTCCACCCGGATTCGCTTTTACGATTTTGAAGAACTATACTTCTAGGGGAAATGAGGAATAGTCCTGGAGTCCTGGATTTTTTGCAATAAGTAGCCTACACATTGGCGGCGGGGGGGGGGCACGATGGCAAATCTCATTTGGTTATATTTAGCCCCGCCCCCCCCCCCTCCCATCAGATTATTTCTTGATATGCTGTTTTTGAAAGTGAATAGGGCATAACTTTTGCATTCGACAACCAATTGATACACATGCCTATTAGTGGTTACAGTTAAAACTTTTGAAAATTGGGGGGAGGGGGCGGAGGGAAACACACGTTCTACTCTTCATAGTATTCTAATTAACGGTCTCATCGAAACGAATTGGTTTCTACAAACTATGACTTTCATGCGCGACTCCTTTCGAGATATGTAGGTAAGGGGGAGGGAGGGGGGGGTCGATTCTACCTTTCATGGTACTCTAATGAAGGGTCTCAACGAATGGAATCAATTTCTAGCAATCATATTTCGCCCCTAGGAATTGGGCCAAAACTGTAGATGAAGACGGAAAAAAATTGAAAATCACCACGTTAGTAAACCATGCTCAGAGATGGCGCCCAGATGTCTCTAAAGTGGTTAATTACAGGCCTCCGTTAGGTACATGTACCTATACTCCTCGTCTTTCTACAAGCGTTCTTCTACCGACCCTCATTTGCTGACAGCCCGATGAAGTGAGGTTAACAGCTACCTTTTTACAAATAAATTTGCAAAAATGCGCTAAAAAACAGCGAATTTTCAGAAGCTTTAATATCTTTCTTACTATATCCAGCAATTTAGAATATCTAAAACGTTCAGCCGCTTTTCGTCTTCTTCTGTTCTTGTTTGCACTACGAAACTCTCCATACACCTTGTAGGTGCCGAAAGAACCGACTGACAAAGGTAATTAAATTATGCCCCCATTTCCTCGTACGGATCTCTCTCCCATTCGTTACTCCCCTTCGGCTATAGCCTTTAAGCGGACCGTTCAAGAGATTTGCGCACTTATATATTACAAACCGTTATCCGTCCCAGACGGTGATATAACCGCCCCCCCCTCCTCCCCCGCCCCGTGGTTCGCAATTGCGATTTGGGCCACGATTTTTGAACGTCAGCGAATTTCGGGAGGAGGCAAAAGTTCGAAATGCCCGCGCTAAATTAATAAATCAAACCAGGTGTGTTTCATGATCAAGTTACCTAAGAACAAGTTGATCGTCAGTTGTTCTGTGACCTTTTACGAGTGATTGTATGCCGTCTCGCGCAATTACAGAAATGTTACGTTTTCGTTTGGGCGCAGTTTAAAATTTGGTTCGCCGTTGTTCCGTTCTCGAAATAGGTCTGTATATATAGCATATAATGCGCTGCTGTTGTGGTGTTAATGGGCGATCGCAATGTCGATCTAATTTGGCGCTTATACTCGAAAAAAGAGTTTCTTCGTTTAATATGCAAATATCAGAAAATATCTCCGCATGGAACAAATCGAAGGTAAACTGGTATTGCTTCAAGAGGCTTTCTCCGGGTAATTACTACACAATAATATCGCGGCGT